GTGTACAGTAGCTAACACAATAATATGAAGGCTTGCTTAATTAATATAAATTGAAGTTGTATTCGTAGTCATATTGTAACAGCAGAAGGCAAGACACGGAAGCCAAAGTATATTTATCTTGATCAAACCGCTGTTTATATATATACAGTTGATATTCTGTAACCAATCTCTGAGCATGTGATTTCGATTTACATTGAGCGACATGAAGTAGAATGTTCAAATATACATAGTGTTCTTTTGTTAATGCATTATGTAACCGTGAAAAAAGTATTCTGATTCTAACGTCAAATAGATAGATATATCCTATTCTGTTGCTGATGCCGAGTTGAACTGTGTGAATATGTGAGAATAATATTCCGTTGGTACACATTGTCTGTATCACACTACCACGCTATTTTCAAGGTAATTTTTCGGGAGATTTTGTGGGGATTTGATTTGTTTAAAGTTTTACCACAGGTTGATATCAGTTGGAGAAATGGCCAGCTGTTTCATCCTAGTACTCACTCACTGGGGTTACCTAACTGATATCAATCTGCGGTGAGATTTAGTATCTTAAGGTCAACTAAATATTACTTCTGAATACTTGAATATATCCTGGGAATGATTCAGTGGAAATTAAACTAATATTGCGGTTACAGAGTGATATTGCCTACAAACCAACACTTGAAAATCAATGAGATGCTCACTAGCGACTTGCCCTATTCAGGTGGGTAGTCACCTGGGGTTCTAGTGAGAAGTCGTGACCAGTAGGGTGCAGCAGGTCGGGCGTGAGGACAAATACTCGCCGAAGACATTGGCTAGGGGTCGCGCTATGTCGTGAATTGGCAGAAGTTAGAATTCATGGACCATTGGATCGGGTCCCAGTGGCTTAATGGTATATGAGCTCGCCTTGTAACCAGCAGGTCCTGGGTTCGAATCCCGGTGGGTGCGTACCTCTGAAGAGTCCCACACTAGGACGAAATAGCTGTCCAGTACTCCCAGGTTTTCCAATGGTTCTCTAACTGATGTCAGCTCATGATGAAATCCTGTAACCAATCAAATCCCTACAAACCAACACTTGAAAATGATATTGCTTTTGTTGAAAATTTTAAAATATATGGATACTTTTTTCAGACAGTATATTAATTTGTTAACAAAGTTCTCAAAATAAGCAGTTGTGCAGGAGAAAACTGTGACCTAGTTTCTAGTGAAGAATTACTGAAAAACACTGCAAATGATAAGTACTTTCATGAATTATAGTGTGTGTTCAGAATTCTACTTAATTCCTGAGGTTAATATTGACATTTCAAGTTAGTAGTAAAAATTAATACTGTAGAAATGTATATTTTTCTGACATAATCATAAAATCCTCCATACATTACACTTGATGAATCTTCAGACTGAGGTAATATCAGTGAGACCGAATGAATGGATAGACGGGCTCCGATAGCAGTTTTCTGAGCCTCTGACTACTTTTCAGTTACACAATGTACGATCACAAATTAACTAGAACATTGAGTTATCGTCAGGACCATATGAGAGCATTCAGCTGGGAAGAGTGAGGTATATGCTGCAATGTTTGACACTTACATAATTCCTTCAGACTCAGCTTAGTCGTAGGTTTTTCTCCAGTTTTAAAGAAAAAAACAAACGTCTTGTGATAATTACGTAGAACTACCCTGACCTACGCAGAGTTTAACATTACTCCCGATAATACGCATTTATTTCGTATTGTCATATTATTGTTAGAAATTTATTATTTTTCTGCTTTTCATCTATTTGCGTTGTTTCTCATTTCTCGATGATTTTTACAACTGTTGATATTGATATTTTTATTTCTTATACTTCTTTTCCCAAATATTTGTGTGAAGCTCATTTAAATGAACTGATCTATGGATGTGATGAGTTCAGTGTATTTTATGTCTGTCTATCTCTAAGTTTACTAAAAGACTGTTAAGTCAGCCACTTCAATAGCATTCAAATTTTTATATATATTGTAAAATTCATTTCATTCTATGACTGTTATAAGAATAGGACAGATAGCTGATATACTTCCACTAATTCTGTTACCATACATGATTAGAACTGATATTTTAAAAGTCTTTTTTAAAATGTTGTTATTTACCATTTCCAAAGAACTGTCATCTGGCTGCATCATGGATGATCAGGTTGGAAGAGATAGTGAAACAGCGCGCTGAAAATCCTAGATCAACTCACGTTGACTATCGCTTATATTTAAGTTCAATGCCGGCAAAATCATTTCCAATCTTCGTATTGCAAAATTCTGTAAAGGTGACCAATGAACCGCCAAAAGGATTAAGAGCGAATCTCAGCAGAGCGATTAATGATATCTCAAGGGGAGCATTTGAAACACATGGTACGATAAGGTTATTCTGAACCTTTTTTAAAATATTTTTTCTACAAAAAAGGAAAATGTCAGTTTCCGTAAACTGTGATTCAGAGGTTTAATTGGCTAATAATCAATTTTCATTGCGATTCAGGATTTTCAGGTAGATTGTGTTATATTATGTAAGGAATGGAATGGTTTTAAGAAGAAAATTATCACCAGTCGTTAGCGCTACTTCTTGTTTGTTTGGTTTCTCGTCAGGTTTATCTTCAACCACGGATTTGTTCTCAGAAATAAAAAGAGCTTTTTTGTCATAGGATGAAGTAATAATTCCAAGAAACTTTTGTTAGCTAGTTCTAGAAATAATATTTCTCTTGTTAGATTCTATAAATATCCTCAAATGAAATAGCCAAGAGTGAAGAGAAATAATAACTGCATAAGGCAACTTCAATATCATTTGTTTTAATCAATGTTACATAAGAAAAAATGTACCTCAGAAACATACGTACCCACCTACAAAGAGATTTTATGTCAAACTATACGTGGAGTACCACATCTGAACAGTGTAAATCAGCTGCAATTAATGAAAGTCCTAAGTTGATTGAATAGGATACGTATTTTTAAGACACTTTCAAGTGGTTTTCAATGAAACGAGTGATACTGATCAAGTTTATTAGTAAAGCAATTAATTCGTTGATGTAGTGATTTGCAGGTAGTTTAATTCACTGATGATACCTAGGGCGATAGTGATGCTGAAAGCTTAATCAATAAATCATCTTTATTAGACGATAAAAAGGTGTGTCGGTGGCATAGCGGTTAGGACTCTCGCCGACCATGCACATGGTCCGGGGTTCGATCCCCGGCCGACGCACTCCTTTACCTCGCTAAGCCAGAAATAATGCTGGTGAAGAGGAAAGGTTGGGCATGAGGCTGGCAACCACATCCTGTAAAATAAACACTGCTACAGAAACTTCAAGCCACTAGCTTGAAGCCCTATGTTCCACTGGGGAACGTGAAGCAAAAAAAGTCATCTTTGAAGTTACTTAGAATGCTTTAACCAAGGAGATTTGGCACCCTCCTAAACCTGAAGCATCTATGCAATAATATTGGAGTTTACTTCATGATCTGCGTCTATAATACAACCATGAAATACGTCTTAGCTGAAGCGCCTCTCAAAAAGCAGTTGTTTTCAACATGTAACAATAAACAAAGACAGTGAGGTTAACTAACACCAGTTGACAGTCAGATTGACCATTCCACAAAAACGCAACACAGATTAAACAATTTTAGTCTGTACTCTAGAGCTGAGGAAGGGGACAAATTTACAGCGAACTGATGACATCTTATGAATTTGGTTGTTTCTACTTTACTCTGCCATAGTTATGAACTCATAAATAACGCATGTTTCTTAACGTGTGCCTGTATACTTGTTGGTGAACATCAGTCCCAGCATTGCACCTGATCAGGAATGCCAGTTAGTCGCTTTTCGCCTCCAAATGGTTTTTAACAAAGTGTGACTTCAGTTGTTATGAAGAAAATCTAACTTGCTTAAATCCATAATCCTTTCAGTAAGATTTCACAAGTATTACATGATCAAAGTAGAACATACTGATGCATTATTGATTGTATTTTTGTATCGCATTGTATTCAGGAGGGCTGTCATTTTAAGACGGGAAATACAGCTCTGACTAGTGTATAATTCAGATTTCACTCCATCATAACTTTTTGTATAATTTTGTTTGTTTATTTGTTTCTAATGCAAAGTTCTGGGAGCTGACTGGCGTAAGTTAGTCTTTGGCATATGTTTCTTCCATTCAATTATATTGGAAAGGAAAAAGTTTGGTCCACTAGGTTGGAATATCAGTTACGATTTCAACGACTCAGACAGAGAATGCGCCATATTAAATTTAGAAATGTTTTGTCAAGAGTCCCACATACCATGGGATGCTTTAACCTATATTACAGCTGAGGTAATTAGTACATTATCTTATTTTTTTTAATTTTTTTGTCTTAATTCACTTTCCTTTAAAGAACAGATATTTTCTGGGAATTACTATTCACTCTATATGTTCTTCACAGGAATTCAACCGAAATTCTTTTGCGTTGAGATAATAAGCCAGACTGTGTCTAGTTCAACTCAAGCACAGAAAGACGAGTATATTTTCATAGTGGCTTTTCATCTCTTTTATTCATTATGGTGACTGAAGTAAACGTAAAGCCTGTCTGACAGTTGATTGCCACAAAACATTTAACAGTGGCAGTTTGATGATTTACAAACAATATATATTCAACTCCAATGTGAAGTCAGTGCTACTATACGGATCAGAGACTTGCACTGCGCGTCATAAAGAGCATCTCAAACAAACTACAGACCTTCATTAACAGTTGTCTTCGCTCAATACTCAAGATCAGATGGTCAGCCAGAAAAGATCAGCAACAAGGATCTCTGGCGATGAGCGAACCAACCAGGAACCGATTGTGAAACAAATAGGCAGGAAGAAATGGAGATGGATGGCCATACTCTGAGGAAACCATCAAGTGACATCACTAGACAAGCCATTGCTCGAGTGGAACCCGAAAGGGAAGCGGCGAGTTGGTCGTCAGTGCGAGGGTGACTTGGAGGAGGTCATGTGAAGAGGAGATGAAAACGTGTGGGCAGACTTGGAGCCAGGTGAAGACTCTAGCAGAGAACCGAACGCAATGGAGACGCGCGGCTGAAGCCCTATGTTCCTCTAGGAATTAAAGGAAATAATATATTCAATATGGTCAAGCTTTTGGTTATTGTACTTTAATTTTCTCGTGTTTTTCACTGTGTATTCATTTAATATTATCATATTATCAATAATAAAGAACTAGCTAAAGAGTTGGATTGTCAAATAGGTCTGATTTGCACGTCTGGAAAGTCCTTTTTTCAAATAACATGTTTTAACTTCTTTGAGAAGATTAGTGAAGTTGGAGACAAATCTGAGTCATAAAAAGACTCTACTAAGTGATCTTTGTATTACTAATTTGTCCTCCTGCAGAATAATGATACCTAGCTTCTGACTCTTTTCTAAAAGCACTCTGATAACCAGGGCTTTTATCTAGGTATTATGTGAGTATGTAATAAATAGCTAAACACATTCATTATTATCATTTCACTCCTAATCTCCAATGAAACTTTAGAAGATAGTTAAGGAAATCAAAATAAACCACATTCGCGATACCATTTAAAAAAAACCCGACATTTTGGTTAATTTTGGCACATTTTCAAATCACTATCTTTTGAGTAAACGAATAGGATTTCCAGTGGTTAAAGATGATACCTGGGTAGCAACTGTGTTGCTCAAATGAATCATTAGAACTCCAAATTAGTAAAAACCCCGTCGTAACCTGAACTTCCTTTCACATCAGGTTTTTGATCCATTGTACCAATTATTTTTGTCAGACTGTCATTCTCATCCACAATAAGTGTCTCTTTTACCATTTGGTTAAGTGAAGAACTGCCAAAGAGTGTCAGAAAAGCAGTTAAAAAGATTCACAAACTTTCTTATAATATTTATCTACTTTAGTGATAATTCCATTGTCACCCTTTGTTAACAGGTTATCTATATGAATATTTCATCTTTACTGTGTGGTAAATTAAGCACTTAGTAGTAGTGTGACGAAAGAAGGTTAAATTTAAGAAATTGCGACTTATATTACAAACTTCACTGCATTTTATTCATCCTTATTTTCATGCCAAAAGTAAATATACATGAATTTTAATTTCTGTTGTTATTATACACGAATATAGCATTACTGCCAACAATGAGTTCCCTTTATAATTGAATTTATGCATCATTTGGTTTATTCATCCACCAATAGAAACCCTACTGTTCACCGTAAAGATATGAGCAACCAGGAAATAGTAAAATAATGGAGAAGAAAGCCTTAGCAGTTCACATAAATTAAAATGCTTAAGAAGGCCAATTTTTTAAATAGCCGTTAATGTGGTTGCCTAGCTGAAACCCAGCTTATCGGTACCACTTTATTTTTGCTATAAAACTGTCAATAGTGAGATGGTTTAACTGGACTTTATTCAAGCAACAACGAAATGACATTGTATAGCAACATAATTAAAACTAAAGAACACTAGAGAGGGTATGCAGATGTCTAACCATTATTACTACCAGTAATAGTTACTGCTATAACCATAACCAGATAAACTGTGAAGTAACTTATTCAAAATTTTTCATTACGTTAGATTACTTATGGTGGACGTGTAACAGATTTCTGGGATCAACGATGTTTACGTACAATTCTTCAGCGTTTCTTCCATCCATCTACACTGGAACCAGGTTATGTATATTCACCATCTGGTATTTATTATCCACCGGATAAAACAACACTATCTGAATACTCAGAATATGTGTCTAGCCTTCCATTCAGCGCTGCTCCGGAGTTATTCGGAATGCATGAAAATGCTAATTTAGTCTATCAGGTAATTATTTCCGTATTATAAATTCAGAGTTTTATAAATGTTTGAATGTAAAATATTATCTATAGCTTTAGAACGGGTTATTCATCACTGTTTGCAGAGTTGAAGTTCCTTCCTTTTGATCCAATGACTGATTTGTATGCACATTTCTTCACTCGTGCCCTGAACAGCTGATTGTTAAAGTCTCTAACCTCAGCGTTTACTTGGTTAGTAATCTTATCCTAATCATATGTTTTCAACTGATTTTCTGTTTATGAGTCTCTGATCATTAATTCCAGCATACAGTAATTTGATTTACCACGTAGTCATATAAAATTGTTAACTGCATGAGCAAAATTTATTGGTCATTATCACACAACCATCTGAACTCTATTACTTAGTGTTTTTTCATCTTGACATTTCTGTATGTGAGTGCCAAGTGTTACATCACTCGTGCTGAACATCTGAATGACGATCCGAGAGAGGAAGAGCCCGTGACCAGCGGCTCCCCTCCCCTCCTAACTTTATCATGTTTTAGAACCTTTACAGTATCCCACCTGATTGCAGGATGTTTTAACTAAGTCGCGTTTCACTATAGACGTTAGTTAATATAGGTAATCCCAAGAAGCCTGTTTGGCTTTTCTATATTTAGAAGAAACAACAGATTGAGTGAAGAAATAAATTCCTTTTCATTTAGTTCCTCATCATTGGTTCGACACTAATATATATTTTTTTAAATCAAAATTTTCTTTTACCAACCAACTGGTTATTCTAGTTAATCAGTTTTAGATGGTGAAAGGTCATCAAAACAAATAACTAATAGATGTTAGTAACAAGATATCTGAGTTTTAAAATTAATTACGGAATTCAAGATAAGTTGATTTTTAGGCTTTAGTAACAAGTTAATACATAATCAAGAAATTTGTAAAATAGCAATAATGACTGAGAAGAATAGGATGACTCAGAAGAGTCACGTAAAATACAAACAAATTAATTGAATTAGCTAGAATTGTCAAAAAATTGACAAAGTCAAAAGATAGTTAGTAACAAGGGGAGTGGAAAAAGTTGTTTTTAAAAACTTAATACATTTTATGTAGTTGGCTATGGCATAGAAAGGGGCTGTTTACATTTTTTTGTGAACACATAGATTTGATTTGTTCAAATGAATTCCGATTGCCTCTGCTGTATGTAAAAGTCGTACTCGTAGACCATGGGAGAGGTCGGGTGATATACGATAAATAACTTTAAAAGCTTTGTTAGAGTCTATTTGATGTCCAGTATGGACGGGATGAGCTAGTATTGATCTGCGTATAGCTTTATTCCGACCTTTGCTGCTATTCAGTCCCACCATCTGTGTTGAAGTAACTATTCTAAAGAGTAGTATATTGGAATACATACAAAGATTGGTCACCGGATATTTATTCGTTAAGTCAATACTTAATATATAAAACACGAATTATCGATGAATCAGTGTATAAGTGAAAAATTCTAGGGTACCACAATGCGAAGGAGCGTGCATAGAAGAAAACAGAAATAAAATGATACGCAAAAGAAAACAGTTTATCGAGAAAAAGACAATAAAGATATTAAGAATTCTTCAGGTGATAAAGAGTGAGTACATTCACTCAGATGAATACTGTTCACGCTTACCTATATATGCTATGAAAAATACATAAGTGTATGACTAATGCATAAATGAACAAAATATCTTGCAAGTCATGTCTAGGTGCGTGAAGATTAAAACTAAAAAAATAGTCAGTGGAACAGTTTAGCTGACAGTCTTACTCATTTGTGAATTTGAATAAGCTCTAATATGATAATTGTTGATGAAATCTCAGCTCGAATACGTAAGGTTCATGTGACATTGGTCAACTGAAGTCATCTGTGCTGTAGGCATAATATCTGGCTGTCAGTCGAAGGACTTGTGTACTGCTCAGTAGTCAACTCCCTCCTTATGAGATATACCTATTCAAAACAGAGAATATTTGAAGAGGCTAGTTGTCTCTGACCACATTTGTTTGCCTTGCATCTCTCGTGTTAAGTGGCATGTATGGTGTAATCAGAAATATTGAGGTTGGGTGTAGAGTGTTGGGAAAGACAGACAGAAAGAGAGACAGTCGATGAAATTCTAAAGCTGCATCTATTGAGATGACTAAAACACGTGTTGTGCATGCCAAGCTATCGTCTTCCTCGTCGAGCAATGTTACTGGACATAGGATTAGGTTGGGAGAGAGTTAGAAGTAATCTAATCAAAACAGAGAATTAATCCAAGAAGTTTCTGACTGATGATTTGAGTCATATCAGCAGGTCCAGACAGGCTGTCTGGTTGGAGTTCTGGAGACGCTAAGAATTGAAAATCCAGTTAGGCAGTCAATCAGCCAACCTATCTGTGTAACTTTTCAATGCTCATACTCTATCTCACCCTATTGTATTATAATAAACAAGTGAATGTATAACAACTTGTGCTTAGAAGCAAAGGTAAGTAAGTTCAAATCATTTATTCCTGTGCTATTGTAACAACAGAAGACAAGGCTGGCAACAGATCAGTTTTATTACGAAAACCAACAGGTATTTATATGTATTTTACGTACATTAATAAGGCTTCTGCCCGCAGAAAGAAGGCGGTCTTCTGATTGGTTGTTTGCAAACAAACGCAGTCTTCCGCTTTCTCGTTTTCGATATTTTTCGGAAATGCGAGCCACTTGTCTGCGAATCATATTTGTCCACGTTCAGGTCAGCTGTGATTGGTTGTTGGATCAGCCTCGATTAATTTCTACCAATCAGCGTAGATCAATGTCTACCAATTGGCTAGCAGCTTGCTCTCACCACACTCGTCCCCCCGTCAAATAGCTTCGTACGCAGGCGTTCCGACCTTCTTGGTGCTACATCCTCTAGCTGAGGATTGTTGCTGATCGGCTTGTCCCACTGTACCCATCGTTGGAGCTGACTGGCATTAACTCGTTTCTGTTTGTCACCTCTTCGGACGGTATATACTTGACCCCGTCTTTTTGTGATTCTGTATGGTCCTTCCCACTTTGGCAGGAGTTTCCGTGAACCTGGCCCGCCTCCAACTGTATATCTCCTGTCTCTACACTTCACTTGGTCCCCGACTGCAAAGGTGATGCACCGCGTCTCTTCTTTCATCTGAGACTTCGCGACCTCACTCCGCTGCTTCCGTATTACATTCTTGACGGCCTCTTTCTGCTCTGCTTTTAATTTCGTCGTACTCCACTTTTGGTGAAGGGGCCAGGTTTCGTTGTGTATCGGCAATCGTGCTTTTCTACCATACATCAGTTGAAAGGGTGACTTCTTCGTTGTTTCCTGAGTGGTAGCCCGATGCGTCAGTAAAATCAGTGGAAGCTCCGTTTCCCAGTTACCGCCCTTCGAGGCCAGCCACTCCTTCAGTGTACGGTTGTTTCTCTCCGTTAGGCCATTCGTCTGTGGATGATATGGGGTCGTTCTGATCCTCTTAATGCCCAACTGTTGCAAACGGGAAGTAAATTCTTCACTCTCGAAACAGGGACCTTGGTCTGTCAGTATCGTCTTTGGTACGCCGTGGTCTGCAACGATGTGTTTAACTACTGCGTCTGTCACGGTCTTTGCACGTTGATCTGGGATCGCTACGGCGTCTACCCATCGTGTCGCGTGTTCCGTCATCACCAGGAGGTACTGATTACCATTAGATATCTGGGGAAATGGACCCATGACATCTACGGACCACAAGTCACCTATCGCCGTAACTGGAATCGACTGAAGCGGTGGTCGCATGCACCGGTCGCCTTTCATTAGCTGGCACCGTGAACATCCAAGTACGTATCTTGCTACGTCTTCTCTCATACCTGGCCAGTACATGCTTTGTCTTAGAAGGTCGGTTGTTCTGGCCACGCCTGTATGTGCTAGCTGGTGACATTCTTCTATCATGTCGTGGCGCGTGGACTGAGGTATGATTTTTAGCCAGCTTCCGTCTTTCTCTCGCCAGGTCAGAGTCCCGTAGGCATTCACTCTTAGTCGATCTCTCTGTCTGAGTAGTGTGGTTAGCTCCTTACTCGCCGTAGCTTGATCTACTTCTATCCCGTTGGTTATCACCTGTATCACTGTATTCAGCGTATCATCCAACCTTTGCTTGCGTGCTAGTCTTAGTGGGTCTTGTTCTACAGCATGCACTCCGTAAGCGACCTCGGGCAACTCAGGCTCGTCTTCTGGTCTCGATAACAAATCTGCCAAGACATTTTCACTTCCAGGAACGTGTGAGATCGTAAAATCGTACTCCTGAAGACGCAACATCCACCGTGACAACTTCCCCCGTGGGTCTCTCGCTGTCTTCAAAAATTGTAGCGGTTTATGATCCGTTTCGATGTGGAACCGCCGGCCGAGTAAATAAGGTCGCCATTTGTCGACTGCCCATACCATTGCTAAACATTCTTTCTCTATCGTTGAATACTTTCTCTCTGTGAGTGTTAAAACCCGACTGGCATACTCAACGATTCCATCACCTTGTCTTAGGACCGCACCTATGGCGTAGTCACTGGCATCTGTGCACACTGTGAACTGTCTTCCAGGTACAGGTAGTTTTAGCGTCATTTGTTGGTGGTCGAACAGGTGTTTAATTCTGTCAAATGTCCTCTGCGATTCTTCCGACCAAACAAACTTTGGCTCACCTAGTAGCCTGTATAGAGGGGCTGCTATCTCATTGAAGTTCTTCACGAATCGACTATAAAACGCCGCTCTACCCAACAATTGCCTCAATTTCCTCTTTGAATTCGGGGCTGGAATTGTTTTAATCGTCAAAATTTTCTCCGGTAGTGGTTTAATCTCACCATTTCCTACTTTATGTCCTAACAGAGTAACATTCTTTCTGGCTATCTGGGACTTGGTTTTGTTAATGCGCAGTCCAAACTCTTCGATGCGTCTCAGCACGGCTTCTACATGCTTCACATGATCGTTTTCGTTTTGACTGTATATCACGAGATCATCACCATACACTTCCACGTTTTTCAAGTTCCTAAGTAATAGTGTCATCAGTCTTCTGAAGGTAAACGGTGCACCTGCTAGTCCAAACGGCATGCGTTTAAATCGATATTGTGTCTGGCCCACGCTGAATGCCGTCTTATCTCTATCACCTGGTTTTATCGGTATCTGCCAGTACCCTGAGCGAAGATCGAAAACGGAAAACACATTCGCGCCTTGTAGGCGGTCTAAAGTTTCCACCACTGTTGGCATGGCACACGGTTTTAACTCTGTCATACTGTTTATTTGTCGAAAGTCAACACAGAATCTATACTTCCCATTCGCTTTCTTTACTAACAGCACTGGAGAGTTGTACGGGCTATCAGCTTCTTCAATAATATCGTCTTTTAACATCTCTTGCACTTGTCGCTTCACTTCGCCTTCCAGATGACATGGTATTCTTCGCGATGTAAATGACATTACTTTTGGATTAGTTAACGGAATTTCATGATTCACCTTGTCGCAATAACCGTATGGATCGCCATCTCCAGTGAACAGATGATCGTATTTCTTAATTAAATCTGTCATGTTGTATACCGTCGACAGGTTCACCGCTGCTATCTCGCTGGTCTCATACATTTTGATACGCCCGTATTTCGTGACCACCACTTTCGCTTGCGTGTCAATTATTGCACCAATCTCCCGCAGAAAGTCCGCTCCTAATATCGTTCGCTGTAGTTCGGGCACAACAATGAAAGGAAACGTTACCTCGCACCCTCCAACAACAATCGTACAGTTCGACCTACCCGTTATACGCAACACATGCCCGCCTACTGTTTGTACTGTCAACGAACACGGACTAACGCTCTTACATAAATTCTTATCTATCAACGACACGGCCGCTCCTGTATCTACTAAGCATACTACTTCTCGATCATTTACTCGCAACTTCGAATACATGGCCCCTTTCTCAATCACCCCCACTAAGTCTAGGTTCATACGAAAGAAAGAACAAGCATTATACCGTCTGAAATCTTTCCTTTTCTGTCTTTCTGGGCAGTCTCTTCTCCAGTGTCCTGGCTTGCCGCATTCAAAACATCGGTTTTTCCTATTACCCAACTTTAACGCCGCCACTTCCCGCTGCAATGCTTCAATTTGCTGCTATATATTTTCAATTATTGGTTTGTAGGATTTGTTTGATTGTATGGAGGATTTCATCATGAGCTACATCAGTTAGAGACATCATATTCATTTGGTTTCGGCTGTTCTATAGCGGCTACAGTCGTGCTCTGCAGCTGTCTGGTCACCTTCGCTAGCTCACTAATATCCATCGGTTGCGTTGCGTTAACCAGTTTTAACTGCTGAGAAATGTGGTCTGGTACACTCTCGATGAATTGGGAAGATAGTAACTGCTCTTCTGATTCTTTTTCCAACGTGGGAAGCGCCCGTCGAAGTAAATTCGTCAATTTCACCGCCAATACTAACGGGTCTCCATCAGATCCCAGCCTCGTTGATCGGAACTGCTGCATCGCTAGCTGTCTGTCTGTTGCGCTGTCGAACTCCGATACCAAATTTTCAACCAATCTCTTCCAAGACACTGTGCCGTTTGACCGGTCTACGCTGTCATATGCCGCCTTCGATCGGCCTCTCAACAGCGTCCCCAGAACAACTGCCTTCGCCGCCTGCTCCTTGACACCCACCAGCTCAGCTACGGCTTCGAAATCACGTAGGAAGCTCCGTATGTCTCCCTCCTCAAACGCAGCTGGCCACGGGATCTTCATTTTTCCGGAGGCAGCGACACCAAATGTAACAACAGAAGACAAGGCTGGCAACAGATCAGTTTTATTACGAAAACCAACAGGTATTTATATGTATTTTACGTACATTAATAAGGCTTCTGCCCGCAGAAAGAAGGCGGTCTTCTGATTGGTTGTTTGCAAACAAACGCAGTCTTCCGCTTTCTCGTTTTCGATATTTTTCGGAAATGCGAGCCACTTGTCTGCGAATCATATTTGTCCACGTTCAGGTCAGCTGTGATTGGTTGTTGGATCAGCCTCGATTAATTTCTACCAATCAGCGTAGATCAATGTCTACCAATTGGCTAGCAGCTTGCTCTCACCACACTATAAAGATGTATGCGTGGCACTGAAATTTATATTTGAGCTTAAAAGTATTTGCTGATTACCTGTCTTATAATGGGTTTACCCCATAGATTTTCCCATACCACTCTGTCTCTAACTATGCAAGCAAATATTTTTATCTTTTAATCCATCAACAATTACAAAGCTATCCAGATATAAAGTCGTTTGATGTTTTCTAACAAATAAAGGCATTTTTCACTGTCTCTGTTAATCACACACCAAGTTTACAACAGAATCTTTAATTATTGTTACAGTTTCATTATATGACAACCTTACTGTTGGTTACATATAAATTTCACAAATCTAAATCAGATATTACAGTGTAAACCAGTTCATTCACATAACATGTAGCTTACATAGAATCAAAAGATTTCTGAAGGTTAATAACTAATCTAAGAGCAACTACATTCGACTTGAATTTTGTGCTCATTGGTTTCCAACAACATAGTCTTTCTGTATATTTCAAGACTCTGTATACGATTCTGTTTCATATCATAAGGAGATCAAATTAGAGACCCCATCACTATTCTAAATACAGGAGGACTGCTTGTTGGTTTCCTTTAATTGTCTAACTTCTCTACTTAGCTTAATTAGCCCGATTGCAAGTTTGAATGGTATGGTACTATTTATTTAATAAATGTAATAATTTTAGAAAGTGTTTTTCATGAATAACCTTTTGAATGTTAATTTTACAATTTGAATTTCAAAAGCTTCAAGAGACTAGTAAACTGATATCTGTCATACTCAGTGTTCAACCGCGTACAAGTACATCAGCTATGGGTAAAACAAGTGATGAATTAGTTTATGAGAATGCAGATTCAATATTAAAAAAACTTCCAGAAAAACTTAATATTGAAGAAGCTCGTTCAGATTTATTTGAAACTGATGCTAAAGGCCGAGTTGATTCACTAACTACTGTACTCACTCAAGAAATTGATCGATTCAATAAATTACTAAGCATTATCAAGGTATGTTGTGGTGTATATTATTTATTTTATTTTTTTTGGTTTTATTTCATTCGCTATTATTTTATATTGCTAATTATCAGTGAAATTATTCAAAACATCTTCATCATTTGTGCTACTGACTGCTGATTGACCTGAAAGAATCCAATGGTCATTGATTGGTTATTAAATAACTCTTGGTATGCTTTTCACCTAAGTGATAACTAAGTCGTCAGATTTGCATGTCTTGATAATTCAACGAGCTAATTGGAATCATTTATTGCTGAGGTTAAACTATAAAATAAAATTCACTTGACAATGATAAAATTACAGTTATCTACCATCACTACCTAAATGTTTTGCATCAATTTGTAGGCTCTGAAGAGAGTTCATACTACCTTCTGGACAGAATTTGATGCAATTAGGATATTTTTTCAAGCATCCTAAGTCCCAGTTATGTTGTCTTTCTAAAACGTTCGGCATTCCCAAATAGTCTGCATCCGACTTGATGGATTAAAAAGGCAGATAGATGAAAGAAGTATGCCACATCAAAATACAACTTGTCTAGGAGCATTTCATACATTTGTTCCCCTTAATGAATTTGAACAAAGCAACAACTACAGATTTAGCAGAATAAAATGGTACCATATTTTATTTCGTCGCCTTCTCTTCAGCTGCTTACAGGGCAAAAACATTATTAAATGTCTAGGAGCACTTATCAAGACTAGGCAGAAAAACACTATCTCCAATCGAGTTGCTAATAAATCTTACTAACATTTTTACCTATATGGTACAAGTTGTAATCTTCACAAGGAAATAAGTTCATGGAGGATTTCATCATGAGCTGACATCAGTTAGAGAACCACAGGAAAATCTGAGAGTACTGGACAGCTGTTTCGTCCTAGTTTGGGACTCTTCAACAGTACGCACGGAACAGCTATCTAGTACTCCCAGGTTTTCCAGTGGTTCTCTAACTGATGTCAGCCCATGATGAAATCCTCCATGCAATCAAAAAAATCCCTACAAAACCAATACTTGAAATAAGTTCATCTGATGTTTCTGTAATTTTTCATAACAAACACTAACATTTAAATAACTCACTAGTACTTCAATAACTTTGCTATTTTACTTTTGTTTTCCACTACAGAATTCGTTAAAGCAACTTAGAAAAGCTATTAAAGGTTTTGTTGTAATGTCAGAAGACTTGGAAGGCATTTATACAGCATTTCTACAAAATTCAATACCAGAAATGTGGTCGTCTAAAGCTTATCCAAGTTTAAAACCACTAGGAAGTTGGGTTAAAGATTTAGTATTACGCTGTGATTTTATTCATACTTGGATGATCAGAGGAAAACCAATTTCATTTTGGATATCTGGGTTCTTCTTTCCTCAGGGTAAATACAGTTTCTTTATATACCTGCAGTTGTAAGCATTAAAATATTTTATCATTTAAGGCTTGTTTGAAGACAGTCATTCATTGCCAAATAGAATGTCTTTTTACTTATTTTTGATAGTCGTTACTTATTTATTGGTTTACACAGCTTTTGATAGAGTATACCTTTAGGTTAATTCGTAAAATTCACAAACTAGAGCATATTCTTATTTCTGAAGGATTTTTCCCCATAATAACCTAATAGCTCAATCGCCAGAATAGGATGGAAGTGTTAATTGTCCTACCGCTACGATATTTGACGGTTAGGTTCATTATTAAGTGATTGAAAATTGATCGAGATAGAAAGTGTTGGTTTGCATGGATCTGATTGATTATCATGTCTATCAAGTGCTGACATCAATTAGAGAACCATCAGAAATTCAAAGATTACTGGATAGGAGTTTCCCCCCCCCCCCCAGTTAGAGACTATTCAGCAGTACGCGTCCACCAGGGGTTCAAAATTAGGGCATCCCGGTAACAAGCAGAGGTAGCAGACCATTCAGCCAGTAGGACACAAATGGTCTACGACCTCTCCTTGTAACCGAGAAAAAAAAATGAAATTTTGATTATCTCAAGATTCAAGGAAATGCGCTTATCATGAAATGCATTTTGGAGGGTTTTTAGAGTTACTTTCTTCATCCGATTTAACCTCCCATAGATAACAGACAGTGAAAAAGAAATTTGATCGCACTGTTGGATGGGATTCGTTATATAAACAAATGAATAAATGAATGACTCACACATGTGATTTAAACGCCCAAATTCAAAATCTTCCATGAATTTGTTACATACCATTCCAGTTTGAAATTTATTAAAATCTTCCATTAGTCTCCTCAAATTCCAAGAAGCTGATTTTCTTCTTAATATCGATACAATATACTTCTATTTACCATCATTAATAATAGTTATATTGTAGAAAACAAGAATGATGAAGCCAGGTACAGTGTTTATTTAAATCAATTACAATGAACATTAACACAATACTAAACATTGATCAGTGAACAAAGAATATTCTTTTCGATAAGTTGTTCTTTACTTTCTACAGTTATTAAATAAGGAATAATTGCTATTTGACAACATTAATCTTGTTTTTATGACATCGAATTACTAATACCACGAAAATCCTTTTTCTCTCCTTATTTTTTATGTTGATATTCATTCATATGAAGTTATTAGGCAGATAGAATGAAATTCAATCCGAACATTTATCACGGGCATTCTTTAATATATATGTGTGTGTAGTCATTCATAATAATTTACTTCAGGTAGGTAGTTACCTGGCTCCTAGTGGGAATTCGTGACCAGTGAAGCAGGTCGGGGGTGAGGAAAAATACTTGTCGATAACATTCTCTAGTGGTCGCGCCATATGACGAATTGACATAAGTTGGAATTCATGGGCCATTGGATAGGATCCCAGTGGCTTAATGCTCTACGAGCTCGCCTTGTAACCAAAAGGTCCTAAGTTCGAACACTGGCTATGGGTGCGTACCGATGGAGAGTCCTAGACTAGGAAGAAACAGCTGTCCAGTACTCCCAAGTTTTCCAATGGTCCTTTAATCGATATCAGTTTATGATGAAATCCTGTAACCAATCAATCAAATCCCTGCAAACCAACATCTGAACTTCGTTAACCATTTACTACTTATTAGTGAGCTGGTGGATATAGAGGTTCACCCAGGGAGGTTTGAAAACCCTGATTACAAACCTCTAGTTTGAACTGTATTCTTCTAGTTACAGTTAACTGACACACATCTCCCTCGTATAAAACTCGTATATTTTTATCGTAATGACTTGGTGTAACACAGAACAAATTACAGTCCTCTGTCACTTGCTTCGTCTAATAAGATTTTACTAGTTAAATGGAAACTTTCATTATTTTTTTCCTGAAGACTCCACAACATGTACTACTTAAATTTATACTTCTAAGTAGCACATATCTCAATATATTTAGTTAATTAAATAAATGATAAGTGCTGGAATTTTCCTGGATAAAATATATGTTTGACTGCATATGTTATTCTTTTCTTCATTTTTCATTGTGTTCTATCAAATTTATCCTGTACAGAGAAGCCTTCAAGGAAGTAATGTAAGGATTTTTCATGAAATTAAATCACTTAACTAATCCAACATGATAAGTTATCGAAATGTATCCCAAAAACAATGTGAAACGCCCACAGTGTATACTAAGTGAACTGGTTAGTTGTTGTTGTTGTTCCCTTGGGTTCCTAGTGGAACATAGGGCTTCAACTGCACGTCTCCACTTGCTTCTGTCTTGTGCTGTACTTATCACTTGCATCCATGTTAATCCATACTGTTTCATTTCCTCTTCACACGATCTCCTCCATGTCACCCTTGGACGTCCCACTCGCCGCTTCCCTTTCGGGTTCCACTCGAGCTACGGCCTGACGCGCGATGTCACCCAGCGGCCTCCTCAGCGAGTGTCCAATCCATCTCCACTTTCTCCGGCATATTTGTTGAGCGATTGGCTCCTGTTTTGTTTGTTCCTATAGTTTCTTGTTTGTGATTCTTTCCGGCCATCTAATCTTCAGTATAGAACGAAGACAGTTGTTGATAAAGGTTTGCAACCTGTTGAAAATATTCTTGGTGACCCGCCAAGTTTCTGATCCGTATAGCAAAACTGACTTGACGTTTGTATTGAAAATCCGAATTTTGTTGTTGATGCAGGCTGAGTGACGAAGATTTCCAGATTGGTTTCAGGTTGATGAATGTGTTTCTCGCCTTTCCGATTCTCGATTTGACATCCTCGTCCGTTCCTCCTGTAGTTGAAACAATGCTCCCTAGATAAGTGAATGAAGTAACCTCTTTCAAATCCCTCCCGTTGATGGTGATTGGCGCTGGATGTTGCTGCTGCTGTTGTTGTTATTGTTGGTTGGTTGGTTATTTTGATAACCTCCGTCTTGTCTATGTTCACCTGCAGTCCTGTCTTTGCTGCTTCTTCGACCAAGTGAACTGGTTAAATGCAGTTTAAATAGCGAGCTGACGTCAGTTGTAGAAACACTGAAAACTGACTACTTGGTAGTTGTTTCGTCTTAGTTCATGGCTCTTCAGTAGCAGGCACCCACTAGGGATCTAAACCAGCACCTGCAAACGAACACTTGAAAACTAATCTTATTCCCACTAGTGATCAGCTACAGAATGAAACTGCTTGGAATCCAGTGAAACGTCGTGACTAGTGGAGTTCACCTAGTCGGGTGTCAGGACAGATACTTGCCGATGACATTGTCTGTCATCGTGTATCATGAACTGGAAGAATTGCAAATTGATGGGCGATTAGGTTCCATCCTAGTGGCTGAATAACCAACGGGTTCGCCACCTAAAGGTGCCTTGTGGAGTTATGGGTATGTACTGCTGAAGAAACACTTGTCCAATACTCCATAGTTTCCAGTGGTCTTCCAAGTGATGTCAGCTGGTTATCTGACTTAAACCCTATAACCCAATACATGACAGTTTAAACACTGTGAAGCAAGCAATGTGACTCATGAGTTAGCTACCGTCTGCTCACCCGCATTTTGCAACAACACTGACAAAGAAGATCAATGACTGAGCCACAAACGAGAAAACTAAATTCACAGCTTCGTTTATTAATCTGCAGAAAGTGAAATTAACTGTTGCTGTTTTTTTTTCTAGGTTTTCTAACTGGAATCTTACAGAATTATGCCAGAAAGTATGATTATCCGATAGATCACTTAACTTTTAATTTTAATGTCCTACCACACTATCGTCATCAAGAAGAAATTTCTCTTGCAACATCTAAACTACGTTTAAGCGAAGTATTGGAATGTGATGCAAATCTACGTGAACCGGAAGACGGTGTACTTGTGCACGGATTATATATGGATGGTTTCAGGTGAATAAATTATTTTCTCTTTATAAGTACATGTTATGTCATAATTTGCAAATACGAAAAATTCATCTATCTAAAGTAATGCAACTAAGTTAGTTATCATTAGGTGGCCTATTCCAGCTTTACAAAAGTAAACGGTGAACGGGATATCTTAGTTTTTTATATGTATATGGTTGTATGTATTTGTACGTCAATGTTTTATGTTATAAAAGTTTTGCTGCTAGCTAAGGTTGACTGTCATTGAAGAGTTTTGAGAATCAATCTTCTTCATTTTCAACTCCCTTTCACCACAGATTCATCACACGCGTCTCCAAATTTGATCAATCATATATTTTACATCTTTTCATTGTACCCTAGTTAAATCAGAAAAGAAAAAACCGTAGTGAGGATATAATTTATAGAGAAACAAATTTGCTGTACCATCATGACAGTCTAGTTGAATGGATAGAATGCATTGCGAGGTGAATTTCCTCAGGTAGTTGTTCTTATGTGATTTTGCATTACACCCTAAGAGGGATGCCGTAATCACATCAGATATTACGTTTGACTGTTTTAAAGGTGTTTTATCAACTTTTTTACAAGGCTGGAATATCTATAATGGTACTTGCTATGCTACGCGCGAAAATACCACGCGATAGCTTTTATCCTCGTCCCAAAATAGACCATAATTGGTAGATGGTTTTCTGTGGTAATCTGAACAAATATGTCACTATGTTTAGAATATGTATTCAGTAATAAGTTTACGTGCTGTTTTCCGAATCTTCCTGTACATTATCTTCCAACAACTATAAAGAGATATTTTGATATAAGGATAAAACTTGAGCAATGTGGTAGAGTATACCTCCATTGTGGACATTCTGAATGTAGTCTTCTTCACAAAATGACAAATGAAAAGATAATTGTAATTGAAAACCGATAGATAACTATCTGTTTCTGTCTCCTTAATCTTAGGAATAGTTACTCTACATCTATTCAAAGACTGAATTTGAGTGCCTCATTACAGAGTTCAATGGCCATTATTTTTAAAGTTTACTATCCTGTTTTAGTATCATCGATTTACATGCATTTTTGAAGAGTTTAAGTAAAACAACTAGCTGTTCAGCCCTATCTAATTCTTATAATTTTCTTCACTGTTGCATTTTATATTCTGTTTAATAAAACATGTTAATTATTTTTTGTTGTATGTAGATGGGATGATAAGACTATGCAAGTGACTGACTCCATACTTGGAGAAATGTTAGCAGTTATGCCCGTGTTGCATATGAAGCCAGAAATGGATTATACACCAGATCCAAGTCACTACATAGCACCGTTATATAAAACAGCAGCAAGAGCTGGTGTGTTGTCAACAACTGGTAAGTGTCTTGTGCACATTACAAGGTCATATGTGTGTATTCGCTTTATTTCTCCCAAAAACATTTTCAGTGATTGATGGGTATTTTATATGCACAAGATTAATGTTCATTATAGTTTGTTTACTGAAAGAAATTTCAGACAACGATTGCAATGACTAACCGACGGGGTTCAACATAGAAATTTACACAGAAATGCAGCAGTTCATACAGCACGCAAAGATAGAGACAAGAGATTTCTAAAAAAAAAACTCTAGTGAGCAGAGATGTGATGGAGAAAGAATAATAAGATCAAAAAAAGGGATAATGGATATCGGAGACCACAGAGAGTGAATGCATCTGTGCTACTGAGAACAATCTCGAGCCATATCATCAAAAATTTCCAGTCACTGGTACTTAGAATCTCGAGGACCCCAACCAGGCATGCAGTCTGAAACACCCTATGAGACGCAAACCAAGTGTCAAAGACTTCATGGAGTGGTACCAGGTTTTGGTTTGACCTCCCGTAACTCTTTTACAACCTAACTCTGTATCAACTAACATTACTCGTCAAAGGACGTGGTAGCCTGGTATGCGTAACATGTGTCAGCGGGTGTAGCTTCACACCTTCATCGACTGACTTACTCTCCTTACCAAACACTTTATGCTTAACGTCGATATTGCTCACTATATTACAACACTTAGCAGGGGAGACGGACACAAACATCTGGGGTCAAAAACAGCTAACCTCTTCATATTTTCCACTCTCACTGACCATGTGTCACAGTCATAAAAGAGGAGAGAGTGAACTGCTTTGCAGTGAACACATCCATTGATCGATAGCCAGATACCACGGCTGCTTTCGAATTTTAGATTTCTGAACCTCTGGTTTCTGTTCACATCGTCTGTGTATTAACAGTCACGCTTTATAAAGTTTCAAGATAATCTCAGTCCTAATAATAAACGACTGCGTGACTTTAGGTCAGGTTATCGCCTTTTCCTTAGTTTAATATCTCTGTGGTGGTGTGATGCAGACAATATTTGCCAACGGAATATTATTCTCACATACTCCCACAGTTCAATTCAGCAGTAGCAACAGAATACAATAGATCTATTTGAACATTCTATTTGATGTTAGAGACAGGATACTTTTCACACAGTTATATACTGCATTAATAAAAGAATCCTATGTATATTTGAACATTCTATTTCATGTCGTCCAATGTAAACCGAAATCACACGCTCAGTGATTTGTTAAAGAATATAAACCGTACATATATGAACTGAAGTTTGATCAATGAAAAGTAGACCTATGCTTCTGTGTCTTGCCTTCTGCTGTTACAACTCTTTTTCCTTTCGTAGATGATAGACAATAGTTCAGCTAGCCTTTCTGTAAAAATTAGATTCATTCCGAGACTAAGACAGTTTTCATCACAGATTAAAATTAGTTGGAAAGTCCTTAGCTATTTTGCTGGAAACTATTAATCTAGACAGAAATAGTCGTTCATTACTTCATGTTATTTTACCGGCTACTTTGCGATAAAGGCTGCTTTGAAATATATAAATTGGATTTGTGTATTTTCGGCTATATCTTAACCATGTTTGCATTCGAGTTTTATTCTGCAATGTTGTTACAACGATTTCTTGTCCATCAATAAGTCAGCTATTTGGCCAATATACCTTATTCGAATACATACATGGCGTCTAAGAAGTTGATTGCTTTGGGTGTGTCAGTGAGTAGGTGAGTACAAACCCAGCCATTGTCTTATATACTCATATTTGAAGATAAAGTGGACAAGCTGCCCAATGAAATAAATCAACAGCACGGAAATAAAAGACAGATAGTGTTTATATTAGCCATAATTTCCCGCTTGAGTGATTGAAAGGCAATCTACTCGTTTAATAACTCACAATTCTGTATTCATTCCCTTAACTGGTTGTGATTTTTCTACTACTAAAGACTTTTAAACTAGAATCAAAGAATAGTATTTGGTTCTGGGTTGTTAGCAATCAAATCTTCATCAACTTGACATCAATAAACATTTAATATTTCATTCTGATGGCACTGTCTTCTGTATTTTCAAAATTCTAAACACAAAATCACTTTATTTCGCATGTCACAGAACTATAATCTTCTTATAAGAAGAAAACCACATATTTACAACAACCTTATAAATGATTATCTTACCCCAGTGGCTCTCACATCTGTAGACAGAGAAACATTCCTACCGGTCCTTTAATTAAATCCATCTTTGATTGGTAAACCGAGTTCATAGAAAAATGTCTAGCAGAAGCTGACTGGCAAAAGCATTAAACTACTTTTTCTTTCACACCTCACTTAAATGTAATCAAAGTATGAGCGAAAGAATTAAAATTCGAACGATTTGAAAAAGATATTGTTAAAACATCCGTCTCAATGAATAAATAATGTAACAACAGGTATCAATGAAAACAAAACACGTAGATCAGCGAAGAGTCTCTTTTCGGCGAATTCATCTTCTTAGCTGTACAATCGCAAATATATATGCATTGTTTTGTATATATGTGTACAACAGGTATCTACATCGCAATCTTTTTTTCAGAATTGTTTTGGTTACTTAGCTGTTCGAACCTCACATTCATTGAATAACTGAGCTTGTTATTCTATGCTGACCGTTTTTTGTGATTAAGTATGCCATTATTCCCATTTTATATGGCAACAAACATGAGGCACATTGGGTTTATCATTTACAAAAATATATGCGAGATTTGTTTTACAAAATTTAGAAATTGCCTTTGCCAGTTTCTTATATTAATATTTCGATTTAGGTCATTCAACGAATTTCGTAGTGGAGATTGATTTGCCTCACTCAATGACCTCAGGTTATTGGATTGAAAAAGGCGCTGCCTTATTATGTATGAGTAACGAGTAATGTAGTTAACAACAGTTTATTTTAGTTCATTACAAAAAGCACAGAAAGGTAGTCATGTGTTACATATTGTCAGTTGTGGTTGATAGTTATTTTGTTATGTGTTTTTGTTTATTAGTGCCCGTGTTAAAAAGTATTTCTGCATTTAAGAATCGGTTTGATGTTGAGGAGTGCTTGTGGGAAAACTCAGTAATTTAGCAGATGTTTGTATATAAGACTATCAATCACACTCAGGTATACGAGAGCTTAGAACACTACTACTACCACAGCTGTACAATCGTCAATAAAAAGAGTGAGTAAGATGAATGTTTAATTGGAACAGATTGACATAGTTCATTTTAGTACCTGAAGAAATGTGATGATGCGACTGGCCCTATTCAGGTAGATAGTTACCTGGGGTTCCAGTGGGAAGTCGTGACCAGTAGGGTGCAGCAGGTCGGGTATGGGGACAAATACTCGCCGAAGACATTGGCTAGCGATCACACTATATCGTGAATTGGCAGAAGTTAGAATTCACGGGCCATTGGATCGGGTCCCAGTGGCTTAATGGTATACGAGCTCGCCTTGTAACCAGAAGGTCCTGGGTTCGAACCCCGGTGGGTGCGTACTGATGACGAGTCCCAAACTAGAACGAAACAGCTGTCCAGTACTCCCTGCAGGTTTTCCAATGGTTCTCTAACCAATGTCAGCTCATGATGAAATCCTGTAACTGATTTTCTTTTGTCCAAGGTCAGTATCAGTCGACAATTCAGCCATATTTTACTATCATTGGGCTTTTTCTGAATCATTAGACATCTTTTAAAGTCAGAAGAAAATGATATTGGTTTCCGTTTTGTAAGCAATCATTTGCTGTCTTTACAGCCTAATTAACACACTTAGTGCATAATGAAGTTAGTATTTTACATATCGTCTGCTATCTGGTCGGTGTGATTTGAATTTGGTTTCAAGAATTCATACTTCAGAATAAAAGATGCTGGTAGATTTTTAAACATCTCATAACCAAGTTACACAGCATTTTGTAATTATATTTATTCTGACTGTAATGTTAGAATCTGTGCTCAATAATCTTATAGAGAAGACTACTCAGTTTTACTATAGGATCCCATATTCCAATGAGATAAAGAATCTTTGATTTATTGTAATTTCTCACAGTGAAGTGAGTAAAGTGTGCTCATGTGCACCGACAAATAGTTAGTTGTGGTTTATTTCAGGTGGCTGGAAGCACTACGTGTTTTCATTTTCATGACTATTGATATTTACCTCTAACTTTTGTAAATAATGACACCATAAATATTCGAAACGACACTACTCACTAGTAGTTCTAGAGACATTAATACTGCGTTTTTCACATCCTCTCAGACAGTACTAAACAGACCGGTGATTTACTTTATAGTAAATAATACAGCACATACTTCTAGAAGTTGAGTGAGCTCACTCAATCGTATTAGTGGATACCCAGCTACCGGTTAGTTAATCTAAAGCTGTTTCAAAGAAGAAAGTGTCTGAGATGATATGGAGTTGAGTATATGGTGAGACTCCCAGCCTTTTTAAGATTGTAAGCGAATACAAACAAGCAGGAAATCTAAGATACGTAGTGCTTCCCTACCATCACTGAACAAACAATAAGCACTACAGTAGTGGGTGATCACAACATCAACTTCTTTGACTTAGGACAATTTGTGCTACGGATTATGAAATGAAATCAGATGATCTGCAGTAACCAATCGGTATAAGTAGTCAAGTTTCTAGACAAGCTAGTTTCATTTTTTAATTACTAATAAATTGTATTTTCTCTGTGATTTAGAGTGCACAGTTATCTGTTCACTCCTTTATCTGCATGTGAGTTTTCTGGACCATTGAAAGGTAAATAAATACAAAATACAAACTGGAAGTTAAATCCAATGAAATTTGACAGCTTAATTAGTGGAATTCAACATAACTTAATTCACTTCGTATTGTTCAGATAGACAAGTGTCATAATTTGATGTGCTCCTGAATTACAGTAACCCTGACATTGATTTTAAATAAGCGAAACTTTTTCCAATGATGAGCTCCCTTTTATCTCCCCAGTGAACTTTTAAATTCTCATTTTGTTCAGATGTAGTATATTTTGTAAAATAAACGTCAGAAAAAGCAATGGTCGTGGTTTCAAACAGAAATACTGTTAACGAACACCACAGTTGAATAGGTGTAGAGTATCTCAGATATTCCCCAGTATGAGCCTATACAGAACAATTAGAAAGATGTCAGTCAAATGAAAGTTTTCAGTTCTCTTTATATCGATGCCTCTATTTTTCATCATTTTCCATCAATGCATCCTTTAGGTATGTCAACTAATTTTATTGTTGCTGTTCCACTGAAAACAAACAAACCACCAGCGTATTGGATTGAAATGGGATCAAGTTTACTATGTGAATGTGTAAATTCATGAAGAGAGAAAAAGGATAATCTTTTCCTGTGTGCAAAAGAATCATTATCTTTAAACAAAAAACATATAAACAAGGCAAAAACAAAATATCTTTAAAAACAATTAATCTATCTATGACTTATTCTTTGTACTGAATCTTGTGAGAGATACTTAAACCGAAAAATGTTATTTAGTATGAAAATACATGTTTTACGCAATCTAAAATCTAAATCTAGTGTGTATGTGTATTCATCAGATGATAGCCAATGTCGGCCTTAATTCTTCAGTAGTAAACGCAATTTTAGCAACCATGTTTATTGCTCACTATCCAACATAGGACCTGTGCAGTATTTCCTTTGCAGCTGTAAGTCATAGCTGTCATTGGTGGAAGATATGAAAAGATTGAGGGGGGTGGGTTTACTAGACAACAGATGTCCCCAAACAATTATTAGAGAGAAGTCCAGTAGTTCCACAAAGAGTCTCTTTTCAGCGAATTCATTTTCACAGCTGTACAATTGCAAATATATATGGTTGTTTTGTACATTAAATTTGTCAAACGAAAATACAAATAGTAAATTTTTGGTGGAGGAATTGGTTGTTGATATAAGAGGGTAGTAACAAAAGTGATGAGTTGTCACAAACAATTGTTAAAAAAGAGGTGCGTAATAATATGAATAGTTTGATGAAAAAGTTGTGCTCAGGGTAAACATGCAAAGAAAAGAAAATACGGAGTTATGTAAGAGTTCTAAAGGAATACAAGATTTCTAAGTAGTTAGAGAAACATGCGAACAAGCAAAAGTTAAGTCAGATCAACAGAGTTGTTACCATGATAGTAGAAGTGGCTGACTAATTTTCTTTTGTATGCGTAGTTCTGGTACTTATGACTGAATGGCTGTGGTTTCTGCAATGCAGGTTGTTCTTCACTTTGTAGATTACTTTGTAGCAGGAGGCGTTTGTTGAGATGGAATGACCAGTGGTGATGAGATGTTCGATTATTGCACTCCTTATACGGCCACTACTTCCTTTCTGTAGCCATGCTGGCTAGTGTTCTTTGACCCTTTTTGACAGGATGTGCATCGAACGACCGATGTACCTGGCTCCACCGCCACAGATGAACTGATATATACACAAAGAAATGGTCAGGTGCGAGATCTTGTCCTCTGAACTTCTGCAGATCAGTGGGCGACTGGAGAACACCAATCTCAGTGTTGCCTAGAAGAAAGTTCTTCTTAAAGAGGTGGAAATTTCTCCTCTTAAGGATATCACTAAGTGGGTCATCTTTGAAGTCGAGGTTCATGTAAAGTATTTTTTTGGCACGGATGGCGTCTCTCGCTTTCGGATTTTCTGTTTGATGTTTCTGTCTACGAATCTTGATGAATAACCGTTTAGTATGAAGATTTCTTCTTCCACGGTATCAGAGCTGCAGATGCGTCGGACGCGAGTAGCAAGGGACCTATTTGGGTTTCTTCTTCGACTGATTGGTACCCAGCTGTAGAAGCTTGTAAGTAGGCCGCTCCACATGAGTTTCGTATGGATGGACCTTTTTAAGGTTCCATCAGCTCTTCTTGTAAGTTCAACACCAAGAAAAGAGATTTTAGATCTGTTTTCTATTTCAAGAGTAAACTTTGTAGCTGAATGGCAGTTGTTGAATATTTGTAGTAATTGATTAAGATCGTAACCATCATCACAGATAGTAAAGATGTCGTTCACATATCTAGCATTCAATCGGAAATTACCAGTAGTTGGTTTGAGTGGGCCATTCTCGAGGTTTGCCATGAAGCAGTCTGCTAGCAATGGGCCCAGTGGAGAACCAATCTTGTTATCTGTAAATAACATCTTTGCATGTGAATTGTACATTAAGTGTACATCTCAGTAGTAGTTCCAATAAACAATCACTTTCCCGTGTTAGTTGTAGTAATATGGCGAGTAACAGCAGAAATATGTAATTGGATATATTAAATGTTATAACCTGAAGTAGAAACTAGTGATCCAGGAAGATTTACATAGCTTTTCATAAACTGAGTTCATAGGAAGAAATAAACAACAACCATTACATCCTAACTCTTCCTTATTGTGACAGTGGGAGATTGAAAACTGAGAGGCGCTAACAATATGGTTTCATTGTTTATTTTTGTTGAGGATGCCAGTGTCACCTCGTCTGCATAACAGCATACTTTTGTCCATTGATTACTGCATAGAAATATGGTTTCTTATTGATATAAGTATAAAACTTGGGCATTGTGGTAGAGTATAACTCCATAATGGATAAGATTTTATTTTAATAAATCACACAGTGTTGTACAGTTAAATTAACTGATGACGTTTCGAGCACAAACTATTGCTCATAATCATATCAAGTTTCTTGATTTGATTATGAGCAATAGTTTGTGCTCGAAACGTCATCAGTTAATTTAACTGTACAACACTGTGTGATTTATTAAAATAAAATCTTATCCATCATATGGTTTCTTAGCCACTTCAAGTGGAAGACCTTAGATACAATTAAATATGAGCAAAAACCACTCTATTAATAAGATTTTCAATAATTAGTGCCTTCGACTCAATAATTTTGCGTTTAAATGTAAAAGCAAAACAGTGGAATTTCTTCTGAAATAGAAATAGATGGGAACGATGTTCGGCTTGACTAGTAGAAATATGTGGGTATAGATTTTTCATATCTATAATCAGTTTGCTAAGTTAATCGGTAAACATCGCCCGTACAAACATTATTCTACCTCTTTCGTTGTTTACAACTGTATGTTTATATGAGTAGGACCTGGGTACTGTAGCAGAGCCTAATTCCACGTCCAATAGCTTATTTGACATCACATATCCAATATCTTTTTGACAAGTTTGTAAGAATCAGATGATTCCTTGGTGTCCACTCCTTGTTTGTTTGGAAAGCTTGGAGGATTGATAAAGTACTACTAACAGCGTGACGTCACAACAGCATTTTACTGCTTATAATCATATTCAAGTGAAAAAATAGAAGTGTACATGTTATCAGTTGTTAGGGATTCATCTGAAAGATGTTTTATGTGAGAATGATCGATAGACATGATCAAAAAGGATTTTCCAGACTGGCTAGGTGATTACTCTTTCAGCTTACAGAAGTATGCCAGTACTGATAGTCACAACATTACATAGAAGGAAATTTTAAAAAAATGACTGAGTTCCAGTTCTGTCATAGAGTAAATTAATTTGATAAAACCACACAGGGATACAGTACTACTTACTGATGATGTCTCACGCATAATTTATCACTCATCATTGTATCAAGAGTTTATGGAATATATTCTCCCATAGTACTCAAGTTCTGTTTTTATATCAGTGACTGAGTTTCAACATAAAACACTGCACAAAAGTACGACAGTCGAAGAAGCCACACTTCATAAAGCACACAAATGTGGAAGAAAAAGGCAAGGAAATTACACTGAAAAGAAATGTAGAGGGAAAGAAATAAATAGATGGAGAGAAGCAGAATTTAATGTATCTAGGAGTTCATAGAGAGTGAATAGATCTCCGCCATTGAGAACGATTTTGAGCGATGTCAACAACAGTCTCAAGAAACTGATTCTTACCCCCTCATGTATCCCGGTCAGGTAGTCTGTTTGCACCTGCTGATATGACTCAAACCATCAGTCAGAAATTTCTTGGATTAATTCTGTGTTTTGATTAGATTACTTCTAACTCTCTACCAACCTAATCCTATGTCCAGTAACATTGATCGACGAGGAAGACGATAGCTTGGCATGCACAACACGTGTTTTAGTCATCTCAATAGATGCAGCTTTAGAATTTCATCGACTGTCTCTCTTTCTGTCTGTCTTTCCCAACACTCTACACCCAACCTCAATATTTCTGATTACACCATACATGCCACTTAACACGAGAGATGCAAGGCAAACAAATGTGGTCAGAGACAACTAGCCTCTTCAAATATTCTCTGTTTTGAATAGGTATATCTCACAAGGAGGGAGTTGACTACTGAGCAGTACACAAGTCCTTCGACTGACAGCCAGATATTATGCCTACAGCACAGATGACTTCAGTTGACCAATGTCACATGAACCTTTCGTATTCGAGCTGAGATTTCATCAACAATTATCATATTAGAGCTTATTCAAATTCACAAATGAGTAAGGCTGTCAGCTAAACTGTTCCACGCACTATTTTCAGACTAGAAGTCGGTGTAATTCCGTCCTGTACTATCGCCTTACATTTTTGTGGTACGAGTCGCATGCTAATCGTACTATATCTGCTGAATTTGTTTGGAAAACTCTACACTTTGTCAGCATCTTCACCTAGAAGAACTATATCACCTGCATAATCTAAATCGACGAAACACTTCCCTCTTAACGAGTCAACCCCTAAGTCGCTGAAATCAGTTAGGATCACATCCATTAATACATCTATCATGAAACTAGACATAAGTTAGGACAGTGGTTATCCCTGACGGCCCCCACTGATTGTGACTACTTCAGGTGACAACTCTGCATATGTTATTCCAGAGCCGCATGAATACTAACAAAAATCTTAGATTGTTACGATACACTTTCTTGGCACTATTTTCACCTCCATAGATTGTCATAGTCTTCTAGATCGACGATGTCAATTTCCGTTTTCAGGTTAAAAAATATGGCGAGTGTTGGACGTCGGTAAGAATGCGTATGTTTCAGAATCTAGAAGAATAAAGGATTGAGAGAAGATACACTTACTTTTCAGTTAAGTAATGGGCTCCACCTCTATCCTAATATACTTAGTAATTCTAATCGATTACAGAAATTCGCCATTTTTGAGTAGAACTGTAGATGATGATCTAGCTGGAAAGCAAGTATTTCAGTCTGTTGAAGAGTGGAGATATGATCAATACACACTCGGTCGCGCCTAAAAATTATCTAGTTTTCGTGGGTTTGTTTCTCCGGATTACCGTCTGAATCTATGCGGGATTATTGTGCCGATAAGTTTAGACAATATATTAGTCAAGCTGATCTCCCTACGGTTATCACATTAAGACTTGTCTC